AAAAATCAAGATGGGCGATGGCAATGGGAGTGGAGAAAGCGGAGGCTTATCGGAAAGGAGCCAAGGGGGTTCAGTGATATTGCTGATGCTCTGTTTCTGCAGTTGGGTGGTGGTTTCACAGGTGTTCATTCGTTGTTATGCTTTATGCCTTATATATGCATTGCTGTATTCTCTGGTGTGTATCAGGTAATTTCTGATTCAGAAAATATCTTCACACTTTTCCTGTTCTTATTGAAGTTTAAGGCTTTCTCTTCCAGAAAAATTCTCTTTTCATTTTGATTAATTTTGATGCTGCAGTTGAAGCTTTCTTATAAAATCTTTAAACATAAAAAAAATTGTAAATTAAACTAATAAAAACAAGAAACATTTGTATTTTAAATATTCCTAAAATCAGCACTTCTAGTAGTTTAGTTTTTTTTTTTTTTTTAAAGATTTTATTATTTCCTTTTTCTCCCCAAAGCCCCCCGGTACATAGTTGTATATTCTTCGTTGTGGGTTCTTCTAGTTGTGGCATGTGGGACGCTGACTCAGCGTGGTCTGATGAGCAGTGCCATGTCCACGCCCAGGATTCGAACCAACGAAACACTGGGCTGCCTGCAGCGGAGCGCGCAAACTTAACCACTCGGCCACGGGGCCAGCCCCTTTAGTAGTTTAGTTTTATAATTCATTTATATTCCTCTAAACAATGTAAAGCTTCTAGATGCATACAGGTTAGCAGCCAGGACTTGAAATAAACAAAAAATGAAAATAAACAATAAAAATAAAGTAACAAAAACAAATAACCCCCTTATATCTTGTGGAGACCCACTTTGAATCAAGCTTTATGTTGATTTATTTTTTACTTAAACATAAACAACTATCATTCATTTTTTTGATATTTTTCTGAGGTGCTTGAGCTCCAAATTCCAAACAAATGTATCTGTTTTCCAAAGGATTTGCAGGAAAGTAGTACAGTTTTTCATAACCCAACCTGACGTATTTCCTTCGGTTCCAATGCCTGTCTGGCAGTCATCTTGTCAGTTCCAATTTGATAGAATTGCACACGAGCAAAATGTAAGTCTTAAATACACTGTATAGAAAACCCAAATTTTCAAGTTGTTCTAGCTATAAAAGAGGCCTTGTAACTGTCTTACTTTTGGTCCTGGGAGCCCCCTTTGTGGGGACTGCTTACGTTAGAGCAATCCTCTGCCCTCCCAGTATGTCCACCTAGGGCCCCGGGGACTCCCTCTCTCACGGCCCATCTGGATCCAGATTAGCCTCCAGAGTGAAAAGAACAAGGCACACTAAAACGTGTTCTGGAGGCTGGTGATGCTGCCCAGGCTAAACCTGTCTCTGCTTTGGCATCATTAGGATTTATGAACCCCTGTGGGGTAAGAGGAGGTTCTTTGGAATTTAGAAATATAGCACTAGTCAGTGTTCCAAACCTTTTCATTCATTCACTTGGAGAATATCCTAAAGCTGTCTTCTTTCTGATTTTTTCGTATGTTTGCCTGTTAGCAGTTGAGCAGATTTGAAGTCTGTCTTGTCATTCTAATAAACATGAGGATGGAAGGAAGTGTTCAAATTATCTGAATAGGGTCGGTCTAGGACAGGAGTCAGAAAACCTCTGTAAAGGGCCGGATAATAAACACTCTAGACTTTCTTTGTTGCTTATGTAATCAGGATACAGTAGAGCCGGAGGGAGGATGGCCATTTCTAGCTGCTAAGAAAAAGCGTCACAGAAGAGAGAACATTTGATTGGCGTCTGAGAAGAGCTAGTCACCCAAGAGTCAGGAGGGCCGAGGACTGCAGGCCACGGGAGTTAGTTGCACACGCCGAGGTGCAGAAGGGAGACGGAGCGCCGTGTGCTGGAGGAACCACAGAGAAGTCTGCGAGGCTGGAATGGGTGGAGTGCTCGGGGGCTCACGGGAAGGTGAGCTTAATCACTGAGCTCGATGACGGAGCGCCGTGTGCTGGAGGAACCACAGAGAAGTCTGCGAGGCTGGAATGGGTGGAGTGCTCGGGGGCTCACGGGAAGGTGAGCTTAATCACTGAGCTCGATGACGGAGCGCCCTGCAGGTCATGCCGGGGAAGTTAGACGGTTAGATTTTACAGTAGTGATCTTTGATAGTTTTTGTGGAAGCTCAGCATGGAAAACAGATAAACTTAGAGGTTTATTCCATTGAATAGAGAATAGGGGACCCAGTCTCTACTGTGCAGTGCCTCAAAAGGGGTTCCACAAAACCCTCAGGCTCCAGGGAGCACCTTTTGCAAACCAGTGCTGCAGGGACCAACGAAAGGGTTTTAAGATGGGGAGTCACACACTCAGATTTGTGTTTTCAGAAGATCACTGTGGGCAGTGGTAAAAATGGTTGTGAAGTAGATGGGACTGGAGGCAGAGAGAATAGTTAGAAGGCTGTTGCAGTGCTACAGAGAAGGGGCGCCGAGGATTTGAACTACAGTAGCATTGGGGAAAGCACGTTAAAGGAGGTACAGAAGAAAACGGACAATTCAGATGTGGAGGAAGAGGGGAAAGAAGTAGTCTGGAATGGTTTCTGACTTGGGTAACTGGATGGATGATGGTGTCCTTCTCAAGTAATGGTAGCAAGAAGTGTGTCTCGAATTTGCCTTGTCCTTTCTAGTTTTCACAGTGCTTTCATATACATTACATCATTCGTTCCCTGTTCACCCCGTAAAGCTCTTATGGAGTGACTTCTGCCGTGAGCCTTCGTTCTCCTTGACCTCTTAAGCATTTGACCTTGTTCACTAGTCCTCCTCTTGAAAACTCGTTGTCCCTTGATCTCTTTGACATCTCCTCATTCCCCCATGTATTTCTTTAAATCTTCTTCCTCTTATCTTTATATGTAGATTTCCTCAGAATATCTGAACTTGACTACCCCTTATTTCTCCCTTGCTAACATTATCCATTATTGTGATTTCATTTATCTCCACAAAGATCTCTCTCTCACAGACTCTGTCCTGGTTTCTGAATTTTAGTATATTTTCAGCTCCCTGCCACACATCACTAACTATTCCTCAAACTCTGTGTCTTGGGATTGAGCTAATAAATAATCATCTTCCTTCTCTGTTTCTTTATTTCCTATTTCTGTTAATGACTTCATTTGTCACTCACCAGGCTCAAAGCCTTGAAATTGTGTTTGAATCCTCCCTCTGCTCTTATACCTAACCATTTATCAATTTCTACTCATTCTGTCTTCAAAATATCGTCTACCTCTGCCGCTTCCTGTTTGTTACCACTGTTCCAGTTCAGACCCTTACTGTCGCTTACCTATGTCATTTCCGTAACGCCTACTTTGTCACCTCTTCATTAGTATCATTACCTGCTGTTTATCCTATGTGTTTTTGCCAGAATAATTATGCTAACATATACCCCAGTCATTTTTCTCTCTTGGCTAAAAGTCTTCAGTAATTCCAAACTAAGTTGAATAAAGATCATGTTTGTTTTTCTGGAATTCAAAACTTCTAAAGTCTGAGTATTGATGGAACACAATGCAGTCTATATAGAGACTGAAATATAATAATGTACACCTGAAATTTACACAATGTTAAAAGTCAACATGACCTCAATAAAATTTTTTTAAAAAAAACCTTCTAGGGGGGCTGGCCCCGTGGCCGAGCAGTTAAGTTCACGCGCTCTGCTGCAGGCGGCCCAGTGTTTCGTTGGTTCGAATCCTGGGCGCGGACATGGAACTGCTCGTCAGACCATGCTGAGGCGGCGTCCCACATGCCACAACTAGAAGGACCCACAACAAAGAATATACAACTATGTACCGGGGGGCTTTGGGGAGAAAAAGGAAAAAATAAAATCTTTAAAAAAAAAAAAAAAACCTTCTAGGATCTGGATGCACCCTGAGTAAGCTTACTTTCTACTATTCCCCATCTTGCACCTACTTCCCAGGCAAATTATTCCCTGGTTCTTCCACACTTCCGTTGTTCCATCTCCGTCTTTTTGTCATCTGCTCCTTCACCCTGCACTTTACTACTCCCCGTCTCCAGATAGCCAAAATGCAGCTTCGTCAGCGAGTCTTCTCCAGATCGCTGGCATCGCGGTCATCTCTTTCTCCTTGGAACTGCTGTAGCACTTCGTCTTTATTGAGACCCTACTCACTTTCTATGTGCCAGACACTTACACTGTGTCCCCTGCTGAACTGTAAGCTCTTTTAGGTTGTGATTTATGCCAGAAGCTCTTTCAGCCCTTATCATTGTGCATTATGCATGGTATATGCTTAGTTAATATGTGTAGAAAGAAATAATCTGATCTTACAGCAACTCAGTCAAGTAGGCAGGGCAAGTAACATTAGCCCCTTTTGAAAGGTCATGAAGCAGGCTCAGAGAGGTTAAGAGACTGCCTAAGGCCTTTTGCTCTGTAGTGCCAGAACACTAACTGCAACGCCATCTTTCTTATGCCACAGCCGGCGGGTGTTCCATTGCACCATACCGCCTCTCAAAGTGGCCGACATCAAGCAAGCAAAATAGAAGACACAGGTAGTATGCGAATTATGTCTGGGTCCGAGGCTTGCATTTTCCAAACTCCAAGAATTAGAATTTGTTATAAAAGTCCTAAAAAATGTATGCCTTTCTGTCATTTCTGAGGATAGTAGTCACATAATAACTCATCTCTTGATTTTTAGAGAGATGTGTGTGTGTGCGTGTACATAAGAGGAAAAGGGAAAGAGAAAGACAGTATTTAGTCAGGTTAGGAAAAGAATTAATTAAGGAAGCAGAAGACAAAGGGGAAAAACTTAGCCAACTCCAGATCCTAAAAGTGGGGCCAAACCCCTTAAAAGGAGAACAGTCGGCTTATTTATGTGCTGTCACTGATTGCTACTCTTCAAAGAAGGACGGTGCACCTTTGGAAGATCAGTGAACACTTACCGCTCTACTTTCTAAACACTGTCAAGAATTTCATTTCTTTCCTAGAAATCATGTTTGAAGTATTGGTTTTATTTGTCAGATTTTTTTTATATTCCAGTAACGCTTCTTTTTTCTTCTTTTACCAGAAGAAGAAGAAGAGCAGGTGCCCACTGATGGCGGTACATCAGCAGAAGCCATGCAGGTTCCCTTGGAGGAAGACGATGAACTGGAGGAGGAGGAAATTATTAATGATGAGAATTTCTTGGGTAAGAGACCATTGGATAGTCCTGAAGCTGAAGAAATGCCTGCCATGAAGCGACCACGACTATTAAGCACCAAAGGGGACACCCTGGACATAGTATTATTGGAAGCTCGAGAACCACTCAGCTCAATCAATACCCAAAAGATTCCACCAATGCTTTCTCCAGTGCATGTACAGGACAATACAGACCTAGCACCTCCGTCGCCAGAGCCACCAATGTTAGCTCCGGTTGCAAAATCGCAAATGCCAACTGCAAAACCATTAGAAACAAAGTCATTTACACCTAAAACAAAGACTAAAACTAGTTCTCCAGGACAGAAGATTAAGTCACCTAAATCTACTCAGTCACCAGCAATGGTCGGAAGTCCTATTCGGTCACCAAAAACTATATCCAAAGAAAAGAAATCTCCTGGACGTTCTAAAAGCCCTAAAAGCCCCAAGAGCCCCAAGGTTATGACTCATGTTCCCCAAGCACCTGTCAGACCTGAAACCCCAAACAGGACTCCTTTAGCTACAGTGAGTGAAAAAATCAGTAAAGAGGCCATTCAGGTAAAACAAATACAAACACCCCCTGATGCTGGGAAGCTGAACAATGAGAATCAGCCGAAAAAGGCTGTCGTGACCGATAAAACAATTGATGACTCTATTGATGCTGTGATCGCACGAGCTTGTGCTGAACGAGAGCCAGATCCTTTCGAATTTTCTTCTGGATCAGAATCCGAAGGCGACATTTTTACCAGCCCTAAGAGAATTTCAGGTTCAGAATGTACTACTCCCAAAGCGTCCACTTCCGCAAACAATTTCACCAAGTCAGGCTCCACTCCGCTGCCTCATTCAGGCGGAACTTCAAGTTCTGATAATTCATGGACCATGGATGCCTCCATTGATGAGGTTGTACGTAAAGCAAAACTGGGAACACCTTCAAATATGCCTCCCAACTTTCCTTATATCTCTTCTCCTTCAGTTTCTCCTCCCACTCCCGAGCCTCTGCACAAGGTGTATGAGGAGAAAACCAAACTGCCTTCATCAGTGGAAGTCAAAAAGAAGTTGAAAAAGGAACTGAAGACTAAAATGAAAAAGAAAGAGAAGCAGCGCGATAAGGAGAGGGAAAGAGACAAAAGCAAGGACAAAAACAGAGAGAAGGATAAAGTGAAAGAGAAGGAGAAAGAGAAGGAAACCAAGCATCCGTGGAAGGAGTTTCTCAAAGATGAGGAGTCAGATCCCTATACATTTAAAATAAAAGAATTTGAAGATGTTGATCCAAAAGTAAGGTTGAAAGATGGAATTGTGAGAAAGGAGAAAGAGAAGCATAAGGACAAGAAGAAAGATAGAGAAAAGGGCAAAAAAGATAAAGATAAGAGAGACAAAGACAAAGTTAAAGATAAAGGTCGAGAAGAGAAGATGAAGGTGGCACCAGCCCCACTGGTGTTGCCGCCAAAGGACATGGCGCTGCCCTTGTTTAGCCCCGCCGCGGCCGTGAGGATGCCTGCCATGCTGCCCTCTCTGTCACCCATGCTCCCCGAAAAACTGTTTGAAGAGAAAGACAAACCGAAGGAGAAAGAGAGGAAAAAGGACAAAAAGGAGAAGAAGAAAAAGAAAGAGAAAGAGAAGGAAAAGGAGAAGAAAGAGAAGGAAAGGGAGAAGGAGAAAAGAGAGAGAGAGAAGAGAGAGAAAGAAAAGGAGAAACACAAGCATGAAAAAGTAAGAGTTTATCCTTTTCGGCACTATCTGAACAAAGTCCTATTGAAAAATACAGGTAAACAAAGCCAGCAATTCTATCTGTATTTTGGATGTAAATCACCCATAACTTAATGGGAAATATGTTTGTAATGTGGTTACAAAATTTAATTTTAATTCTAAAACCCATAAACCTATAATCAAGCCCCCTCTACAGTGGAAAATGTTAAAAATTCATAGGCTAAGAGGAATCTAATCACAGACCCTAAGCTCTCTATTAACCATATTAATTTCTGGCAGTTTAAAAAAATCTGTAATCTTAAACTGTGAATAAGATTTTTGTAATTATCAAGTCTACTACACACTATTTTGTAGCCAATATTAGATAGCAAAAAAGGGCAACATCCATTTTTCTAAGAGCATGCAAGAGCATGGCGTGCCTTTAAGAGGATGGCCAGCCCCGTGGAGTCCTTCCGTACTGACTCGGTTTTCTTTCTGGTGAACCATTTTGCAAGTGTTTAGGGTTATGGCTGTCTACTACTTTCTGTAGCGTCTCTTACCCTTGTGTTTTCTGCTTTAATAAGATAGGACATGTTTCTGAGTATCTAGGCTGATCTGGCAGCCTTGTTGGTGGGCAGAAAATCATTCCAAGTATTTTACGACGTAAGCAAATTAGCATGCCATCAGTTCAGCCAAAGAAACTGACAGATAGCCCGCAGTTTTGTAGAAACAGGGCCCTCAATCCTTTGGGCACAGGACGTGACCTCTGCTTTAATGGCTTTGCTCTTCAGTCCATGGTTCTTTGGGTTACGGTGGTTGACTGGTTGATCTGAAAATTTCTTTTAAACTTTCTTAAAAAGTGTCAAAGTATTCAGGGTGCTGTACATACAGATCCTCAGCACTCCTTGCTCTGCCCTCCAGGAGCAGTCCTCTTTGAGGCTGGCTACAAAATACTACCCCGTAATTTTTGCACATAGTAAACTATGATGCCTCTGACCTACAGCAGCTTGTTACCAATACTTTTGCAATATTTTTAATTTCAAACGTACGTAGAAAAGTTAATTTAACTGACAAGCAGTGTTGACAATGCTCACATTTTTCTGCCTAACTTTATTCTTTCTCTGTCCCCTTGGCTGTTCTAAAATATAAAGAAGTAGAATGAAAATTCTGATATTAATAACTGAACATCAGCAAATTAAGAAGACACAGAAATCCAACTCTTATTTCCATTTAAAAACATTTTATCATTATGTGATTTTTATGTGGTACCTGGCACTTGCACATACCTTGTTTTCTCCTCCTAACACACCTGTGACATAGGTCCAGTAGGTATTGTTATCACCATTTATGGATGAGAAACTGAGCCTGAGAGAGTGACTTGTCCAAGATCGAGGTCACATACCCAACAGAGTCATGTCCACACAGACACACTTCGCGTTTGGAATGTGTACTGCTGGAGACCTGCCTGGCAGCAGTTAGTCGCTTATCCATCGTGTACCTCATCACTTGGCAGCGGAGCCCTCAGCACATCAGAGTCCTGTTGCTTTCATCACCTTCTTAACTGTGGAAGGTCACTGGTGTTGTTTCAACAGCCATTATGAATTTGGATAAAGCCCATCAGATTAGATTTGTATCAGCAGTCCATGCCTTTCCTCCATATCTACCTGACTTTGGGGAAGAGAAGTCCCTCAGACTACCTTGGTTGGAGGAAAAGGCTCAGCTACAAGTTGCACAGATTGTGCCTACAGAAAAGAAGTTTTTGTATCAGTTTTGATGGGTTATGAGCCAGATAAATGACAAAAGATAAACATTTATAAAAGTCAGCTATCTTATAAAGTCTTTAAAAATAATAAACGGGCTGGTCTGGTGGCATAGTGGTTAAATTCATGTGCTCCCCTTGGGCGGCCTGCTGTCTGCAGGTTCATATCCCAGGCACGGATCTAGTGCTGCTCATCGAGCCATGCTGTGCCAGCATCCCACATAAAATAGAGGAAGATTGGCACAGACATTAGCTCAGTGACAATCTTCCTCAAGCATAAAGAAGAAGATTGGCAACAGCTGTTAGCTCAGGGCCAATCTTCCTCACCAAAAAAAAAATAATGAACAGTATTGTCTCTAAAGTTAAACCTGAGTTCAAATCCTGACTTTTTTAGCTATGTGAAAGTGGGCGAGTTACTTTTGTGAGGATTAAATGAGATAGCAGCTGAGACATTTAGTACTGTGTCTGACACATAAGTAAATGCTCAGTAAATGGAGATGCTGCTTATGGAGGTGGTGAGTGTTATTGTTCCATTTTGAATTAACCCATAAAATGTAGAAACCTGGATAGTTCATTGGACCATACTAGCCAACTTATGTGTGACAGGTTGAGTCAGCTATGGGTACAGTGTTAAAAAATAATTTCTGCTTCCTTGACCTTCTTTTAAATTTTAGCCCTTTATGCAGCTAGGAAAGGATGAAAACTAGTGCAACCCATGGAAACGCCATTGACAAAGAGTGGAAATTGAGATATTAACTTAAACATTGACTTCTTTTTCAACCCCACTTCATCCCCACCAAGTATTAAATCATATGAGTAAATGCAAGTACACCTCAAGTTGGATTACATATGATCTAAGAATTCTTTTACATGTCCACAGAAGAAAGGCAGCAAGGGTAAATCAAACTCAGGCATATCTAAGCTGCCCCAAGAAAATGTCTTTTGTCAAAAGAACGAGGGCCACCATCTCATTCTTCCTTCTTATCCTGACCAAGTCACAGGAGCAAGTGGACATTGACCCAGATAAGCAAGCAAGGGCGTTGTTTTAATAAAAGAAAAACATCTCCCCATTTTATTTTACCTGCCTACGAGGCTTTTACCAGCAACACCCACATTTATCTGTACAAGAACCAATAAAGATACCGTTAATTAAATGGGGATCTGCATGGTAGGTGGAAGGAGCCTTGGGCTTTGGAATCCAGCAGATCTGTGGTAAGGTCTAAGACAAGTTGTTTAGTTTCTTTAATCCTTTGGTGCTTCATCTTTAAAGTAGGGATATGATAATAACACTTTTAAAACAGCAAAACAGTAATAGTTAACATTTTTGGAGTAACTACTATATGCTAAACACTATATATCAGTTTAATTCTTTACCACGACTCTATAAGGTACATATTATAATTATTACTGTAAGATGAGAAACAGGTTTAGAGAAATTAATACACTTGCCCAAGATCACATACCTACTGAGTGATTGAACAAGAGTCACAATTTCAGCCCAGGCTGTGAGATGCCATAGTTGATGTTCTTAACCACTATATTTTCCTGCATTAAATTAGAAATGGATTAAGTGAACTAATGTATGCAAGGTGCCTGGCTCAGTGATGCACCCTCAGAAGGAAGGATTGTTTTTCATGTCGTGGTAATAATGCAAGTATGGTGGTTTATGCACAGTCTTTCAGTCCCCCTTATGGGCAATGATCCGCATTAGTCAGCGCTAAGAGTCTAGTCTTTCACCCCTTTAAAATAGAAACAAACTAGTTTTTTGTGGAAAACACATTAAGAGCGATTATGTTCAGGAGCGGCAAACATAACTATAATAGCTTTAGCAGCGATAGGCCTAACAGTACATTTCAGAGTAGTTTAACATTTTTGTTTGTATTTGTGTTGGTGTATGTACTGCATGACCTAATTTGTTAACCATGAATCTGTGGGGTTTAGATGAATGTTACAGGACTACTTTATTAAAATTTACTCTTGATATTTTAAGTGTTTTTTGGAAGGAGGACTGCTGTGAAAAACTAAAGAAGAAAGCATCTCCTTATTTATGTTAGTGGAATTGAACAGTTGTACATATAACCTTATATAGAAGATAAGCCAAAATCCATCTGTCAAACTTGGAAATAGTTTTTTTTTTAAAGATTGTCACCTGATCTAACATCTGTTGCCAATCTTCTTTTTCTTTTTTCTTTTTTCTTCTTCTCCCCAAAGCCCCACAGTACAAATTTGTATATTGTAGATCTAGGTCCTTCTGGTTGTGCTGTGTGGGACACCGCCTCAGCTTGGCTTGATGAGTGGTGCTAGGTACATGCCCAGGATCTGAACCTGTGAAACCCTGGGCCACCGAAGCAGAGTGCATGAACTTAACCACTTGGCTGCAGAGCCGGCCCCTGGAAATAGTTTTTATGCTCTTATTTGAATGATCTGAAATGTTACAGTAGAGTTTTACCCCAAAAATGGTGACATCACAATCTGTAGATAGATAGGCCCAGAGCAGGCCCACAAAGAACGTGGACTGTGGCGTCAGACTGACTTGGATCTGAATTCCAGCTCCCTCACTTACTAGTTATTCATCTCTCCTAACCTCTCCACCTCTCCTAACCTCCTGCTTCCTTCCCTCTCTCTCCTTGCCATTCAGTACCTGGAAGAGACAGCATCACCATAAAGTATGGTTTACCTCTGCTTAAAAACAATGGTTTCATACCTTCTCTAAGAATATTTTGGCTTAAAAGGCCTTCTCTTTGCCCTCTCATAGAAAGCACAAAGTAAAGACTAGTTTGTGTCATTTAACTGACAATCCAGAATTTTCTTACAACTAACCAATAATGTTAATCAGCCCACAGATAATTGAGATTTGCTTATAATGGAATGCTCCAAAATCTCTAAAGGATTCCCCAAATTTTCATCCTATTGATTGATTAATTTTATTTTGAGCTAACATTGGCTATTGAATGTACTAAGCCACACAGTAAATGATATTAGCAACTGCCACTTATTGAGTGCATATGAGTGCCAGACCTGGCCAGAATTTGATTAATCATCCTCCCAGCAACTCTGAGGGCTTGGTGCTGTTGCTCCTGGAAGTGGAAGAGCTGTGACTTGACCTAGGTCCGTCAGCAAGGGCTGGGTTCTTTCTTACCTAACACCTCCTTCACGGGCCTGTCCCCTCAGATGGAGGCTGATGAGAGGCATACGCATGCTTTCACACTCTGGAGTGAGGTGACATCATGATTTTAGAAAATTTTAGTCCCTGAAAAGACCTTAG